TCCCTCTACAGGAAGCTACAGTATTTGTTGCAAACTGTTGTACTCCAATTTCTTGTCAGGTTAGAGACTTATAAATACCATTTAAATCTTTTTACAGCATTTTCCAGTGTTAAAATTGGAAGGGTGCACTATTGCACCCCCCCCCAGTAAAGAGTATAGAACTGATAAATATCAGGTATTGGTTTATTTCAGAGGTGCACCAATACATCTGTCCAATATTGGATATTGGATTGGCACTGATATAAAGAAAATTGGCTGTATCAGAAATTGGCCTGATGTGGCCAATAATTTGGCCGATAAGTTCCCATGCATGCGTGTAGCTTCAGTACAGCATGCAGACAGCTGGGAGAGCTGTGTGCAGCTGGTAAGTCCATTGTGGACAAGGGGAGGGGGGAGGGAAGAGGCATGTAGTGGGGGGCAGATCATCGCCCCCATGGTGAGGGAGGGAGTGGGGCATGGTCTGGGGCAGGCACTGTCCAGCCAGAGCAGGGCAGGGCATGGGACAGAGCCATGCCTTGTCTCGGAGGGGTGGCTCCCACCCCGGGAGGGCATGGGGGAGCGCGTGACCCTGGGTCTGTGTGGGGCACAGTGGGTGGGCTGCAACTGCGGGCTGGAGCCAAGGCTGCACTAAGCTCTTCTTGGTAGTGGCTGGGCTGGGGCAGGCAGCAGTGGTGCTAGGAGTGGGACTACGGGGTGGGGTGCTGCAGCCAACCCAAATTTTGCCATAGCCCCCCTGTGATCCCTCCCTTCTGAATGCTGCTGCCACCTGCTCACCACAACCCCAACCCAACTCCCTGCCTCCACCCACATGCCAGGAAGAGCTGGGGCTGCTCCCAAAATTTGGGGTGGCTGCAGTGCCCCACCATAGCCCTGCTCCCAGTGCTGCCGCTGCCTGCCCCAGCCCAGCACCCACCAAGAAGAGCCCAGCACAGCCTTGGCTCCCACCTGCAGCTGCAGCCTGCCTGCCTACCCTGCCCCACACATACCCAGGACACATGCTTCCCCCATGTCCTCCCAGGGTAAGCACAGTGACAGAAACATCCCTTGCCCCCACGTCCCCTGGATAAGCCACAGCTCCGTCCCATGTCCCACTCCACCCTTCTGGGCAGTGCCTGCCCTTGCCCCATTCCATCCCTCACCACAGGGGGAATTGATCTGCCCCCCTCCCCTTCCACCACACCTAACTTACCAGCTGCATGCAGCTGTATCACAAATTGGACCAGTATCAGCCAATAAAAATCAGCTATCAGTACCAGCCCCCAAAATCTGTATTGGTACACCCCTAGTTTATTTCATTTCAGGTGGTTTGCTAGTAGCAATCCATAGCTTATTTATGATCAGAAACAGTAAGGAAGAAAACGTATTCCATGGTCTATATTTACCGTATACAATTGTACCAATTGTGAGAACTTACTCCCAGGGAACTGCAGACATGTGCCAAAATTCTCATATGTGGATGATTAAATAATTTATTGATATTTAGTGGATTTAGATCTATCAAGTGTCACTATGCAAGCATATCTGTAAAATGTAGCTGCTTAAATAAGAGGTTTGATTTTCAGAGGTCCTAGTTCTCTTTTCTGCTCTTGTCATTTTCTAAGACAGCCTTCCACTTTAAGTCAGATGAAGTTGCAAAATCCCTATATTTATGAGATCAAATCCTAGAGGAATTGAGAAATCGCAACTTCCATTTTCCGATCAATAGTGCACCAAAGTATTAAGTAACTACCTACAGCAAACCCAGCCTGGTACTGTACAGAACCCTGTTCTTTGGAAGAATTATGAAGTGCTCTACTGACATAAAAGTTAATACCTTTCTCCTTTACTTCTTTACATTATATGTATAGCATGGGAAAGAAGGCCAAAACTTGTAACAAAAATGCTATATATCCATCTTCATGGCTAGGGACAAAAGTTACAAATAAACCAGTTTAAGTGATCAGAAACTGGTTTAAACCTGTAACAAAACAGAATTTAAATGTATTTAAATGACTTAGAAAATGGCTGAAATGGGTTTAAGATAAATCTGGTTGGATGTAGTATCAGACTTAACTGATTTAGGTGAAACCAGTTTAGGGAACTTCTGTCCCAGATCCCTTCCTGTTTCAAATTAACTCACAGCCCCCCAGCATCCCATGATGCTTGCAGCCCTGGACTGTGCTGTCTGCTCAAGCAAAGCAGGGTTGGTCCCACCCCTCTGCTCCCGAGCCAGAGCAGTATCACTATTTACTGGCTGAGAAGGGGTTGGGGGTAGGAAACCTGGCTCTAAGTTCTAGCCATGGTCTGCCTGGATGGGGTGGAGCAGCCCTTCAAGTCTTTTCCCAGATGCTGGCCTGGCCTGCAGGCTGAGGCAGAGGGTAGGGAGAGGGATTTAACCCCCCATTCCCCTTCTAGCTCAGCCTGCCAGCCTGGCTGGCATCTGGCCACACCCCCTGCTCCTCTGCTTGAGCAGAGAGCAGGGGAAAAGCCAGGCAGGGGCTGCTTGGGGTCCCTTGCAGGTGGTGGAGGGGGATTTAAAGCCCTCTCATCCCCCTCCACTTCAGTATGCCAGCCTGGCCAGGGTCTGACCACCCCTCCCCCCCACTCCCACTGCCCCACACACACTCTCCTCCACTCAAGCAGGGAGCAGGGGAAAAACCAGGGAGGGGTTGCCCCCAGGCAAACCCTGGCTAAGGTCCAGGGCCAGGGAGGGTTTTAAACTCCCTCCCTCCTGACCTTAGCCTGCGAGCCGCTGGCTTCGGTGTAACCATGCCTCCCACTCAAGTAGGGAGTGGGGTCCAGCTAGGGGCTGTCACCTCCTCCCCCAAGGTAGACCCAGGCTACAGTCCCATGCAGCGAGGGACGGCCTCCCCATCTCAGCCTGTGAGCCCCTGGCTAGGGAGCTGCCAAAACCCTGGCATGGGCTGCCTCCCTCCCCTTGAGCAGGGGACAGAAGCCTTGCAGGGACTTCCCCCCCACCCCCAGGCAAACCAGAGTTGGGGTCCCATGTGGGCCGGGGGTGTAGTTTAAAGCCCCCCTTCTCCTGGCCTGAACGTGCTGGTCCCAGGCTGGGGCCTGACCATACCCCCTCCATTCAAGCAGGGACAGGGTGGAAAGCCTTGGAGGACTTCTCTCCTCCTTTCCCTTTGGCAGTTGCTCTAGCACTCTGCAACTTCTCGCCTGAACCACCGCAGGCATATGGCACAATTTCTAGAATCAGTAGTGAATGTCTGCTCACTTGCTTCTCAGTTCAAGCTATGCAGTTTAGACTAACCTGCAAAGATTGGATTGATTCAGCCTCTGTTTTTTTGTCTGTCTGTACTTAGCCCATGAGAAAAATGCTGGACCTCAAAAAAATGTGGTATGTAGTTTCCTCTGCCTCTCTGAAATCCAGCTGAATTACATTACAATTAACACCTGTTTTGGACTTGGCTAATGGGGCAGATTTTCAAATGAATTTCTGTATCTCATAACCATAATCTTCCATTGAAACTAAGACTTTAAGTAAGTTTACATGTTTTCAAAAGTCTTCAGCACGAAGGAGCTCTCTTCAGAAGCTGTCCTTCTGCTGAAAAACTAGAGATTTCTTTTAGGTCTCAGAATTATTTTGAAAAACTGAGATTCAATCTTGCCCCTATTGCAATCACTGAATGTGTAGCCATCTCTGATCTGAATCCTTGACGACTTGAATCTTGAATATTGGCCATGTGTTTTGCCCCAGTTAACTTTACTATTTTATACCAGAAAGCTGTTGAAACTTAATATAAATACACAGAATCCTTTTCCATTCATCATTATCTTTCTATTACTCCAGAGTTCTGTAATTTCACCCATAAATATAATCAGCCCTCCTCTACTGAATATACATTTGTAATTTTTTCATAGGAATTTAAACTTGTTACACTTAAAATGCTACCTGTTCATTTTTGGTATTTGCTTATTTATATTTATATTTGTGTCTGGTGACTGTGTTCTGTAATCTCTTTGTGGATATGAATTGTACATATTGCACGAAGAAAAATACTTGAAGTGTTGTAAGCAATGTTTTACCTCTACATCCTAATTTGGTATCAGCAATTTATTTTAGTCATCATAAATATAAAGGTTTTTCCCCCCCCAGGGTATTCATGAAATGTGACTTTTCATAAGCACACAAATGTGCCCCCACAACCAATGTAACGTGATGGTATAACCTGGTATAAATAGCCTTTTCCCAGGAAATATATATATATTATTCTATACTTCACATGACTCTCAGTAAATATACTGATCATTTTACATACCTTTTCAAGACCTTCCTCCTTGAGGCTGATCACATCTAAATCAAAATCTGTCCTTAAGCCATTGGTTTTGTTGAAAGTTATCCTGCCTGTGAGGCCTTCCCAGTGGGCCTATAGAGGAAGAAGACAATAATAATTTCTATAAATAAGAATAATAGAAAGAACAAATTAATATTTGTAAAATGGGATAGTTAATTATTCATTAAATTTAAATAATTTACCTTGTGGCTGATTTTAAAAAAATCATTTCATATGCACTTCTGAGATTCTTAGGGTTCTTTGCTAATTAAACTAAACTTTCTTTAATCTTTTCACACAATTTCTTAAGAGTTTTCTATTTTAGCCCATAAAATGGTTTCACTTAGGGTGATAAAAGGATGTTTCCATAAACAGTTATTTCAATATTTACAATTTCCATTTTATTCCCCCCCCCCCC